TCCATCCATCCATCCATCCATCCATCCATCCATCCATCCATCCATCCATCTTTTTAGATAACAAATTGCTTAAAAGCAGAGTGCTACAAAACTACTTGTATTGTTGCTGCTACTTTGATGTTGGAATTCCTTTAGAGATTATATTACGTATGTATGTAAGTTGTTTTATGTAGCCACTGAGATAGAGGGTCTGGCAACCTGGCATCTTCTGGATGGTTCCGATTACTTCTTCCATAAAATCTGATCCACCTGGAGTTCAGAATACCTCCAGTGTCTGGAAGGCACCATTGCTATGCCTGACCTAATATTTCTATATTTGATTGGGAGACAATGAATTGAATACTGCAGGGATATTTATTAGGACAAATTTGCCAATACAACAATCTCCACCTGTAGCGACTTCCGGTTGCAAGGCTTCGGCGGCGGCAGGAATCCGCTTCTCTGCGGGTCCCTGCTGCACTCGCCGTCGAGGTACCCCTGATCCAACTGGATTTGGGGGTTGTCGCTGCCCTGAAGGGGCAGTGGAAGACAGAGGAGATCCGGGCAGGGGTCTGGGGATATCGCACCCCCCTTCCCCAGCCAGCTAGACTCCTTTTTCCTGAGACGGTGGAGCGGCTGTCAGCAATGGCAGCCACAAAGAAATCTTCAACCGGATAAGATTGTGCAGGAGGAAGAGCCAGAAGGAGTTTTCTTGGCTGAACCAGGACATTAAGTTACTTTTAAAACACCCTGGAAACCTGACTTTGGATTGATACATTTGTTTCCAAAAGAATTTGCTACATCGGCGAAAGTGCTGAAGGAAAGCTCACTCCCCCTCCTTACGGAGAAAGCAAAGGAGCACAGAAAAACCTGCTTTTTAAAGGTAAAAATAAGCTCTGTGGTATAAGTTGGAAGGAGAGGACTAATTTTTTTAAAAAAAAACCTTGTTGGAGGAGACGCCTTGAAGATTACAAGACCATCAATTAATTGTAATATGGCTTTTAAAATACATTTGGGATTTTGCCCCTGGAGGAAAAACTGTAAAGAGAAGAAGAGGAAATAATTTTTGTTTGTTTGGATTGTTTGATAACTCTGACATTTGGAAATTACTTTAAGCTTGAAAGCATCTGGGTTGTTTTTAAAAACCTATAATGGTACCATCTGTTGATGAACTGAAAATGGAATATGAAAAATTAAAAGAAAGACAACGAAGTGGCAAGGATTCCTTGGGAGCTGCCTTCCATTTTCTAGAAATGGCGGTTTCTACGTACCAGCAAATACTGGAGGAAGGAGAAGGAGAAGAAGAAGAAGAAAAGGAAGAAGCCATCTTTAATGGACTAAAAAGTTCGACTAAGAAAGAAAATGGGAAGAGAGGAAGGGAAAATGAGAATTTAAGATTTAATAAAACAACCAAGAAAAAGAAAAATAGGGTGAAAAGAAGGTACAATGTTAGAAAGCAATTGAAAAGAGAATTACAACAGAGAGGGAAACTTAAAAAGGGGGAGGGGGGGGCAAAAAGACCAGATTGGAGATGAAAGGGAGGGAAAAAGAAAAAAAAAGCCATGGGCTAGAACAAGATTTTAAAAAGAAATTTTTTTTTAGAGACGAAGGATGATGGATAGTGTATAATTAAAGAAGATTCTGCAAGAGTGCATAAGATAGTATTGTAGTATTTGCATTTGAAATAGTTTATTGGAATATTTAATAAAATATTAGGAGAATGTGTTAAATGATTAATGCTTAGTTATAATTTAATTTGTTACTGTTTTAATGTTATTATAACCTTAGTGTTTTATTTTTCTATTCTAAAACAATGTACTTATTAGAATTAGAATAGAAATTATACATTTAACTATACTATAAGTTTACTATTCTTTTATTTTAAGATTTAATATGTAGAATGTACTAAGCAGAATCAGGATGGAAATTATGTATTATTTTAAGCTTTATTTTAGGAGAAGGCGTCATACTTCAAAAGTGATTACAGGGGAAATTTTTTGTTAAAGAGAAGAGATAAATAGATGTTTGGTAAAGAACGGACAAAAGATATAAGCATAATGACTTTGAAATAAGATGAAATAAATAAAATATAATTAAGAGAGTGAAAAGATGGGAGAAGTTATATAGAAAATATAAAATGGTTAATAAGATATGAAGGGTATATAAGGTGGGCATGAATTTGATTTAGGTCTGTCAAAAAAGATGTAACCCGGGGCCAAGTCACTCTTCAAAAGAAGTTTTATGTTTTATGTTTTGTGTGTTGATAATTTATGTTTGATTGTAAATTAATAAAATCTTGGAGAAATGAAATCAAAGGGAGAGAAATGGGGAAAAGACATGTATAAATGATAACTAAGGAGGTTTTTTTTTTCTAATGTTTTGCTTTAGGTTATGTATTTTGTGTGCTTATGACTGATTGAGAATTACTAAAACTTTGATAGAAAGAAATATAAATGAATAAAAATGAAGGGAGAAATAATGAGAAATTTGGAAAAGATATATATGTGTAAATGGAAATGTGATAATGTGGAACTATGTTTTAAAAAAATAATGCTTTATTTGCCTTGTTAAAATTTATAAGTAATTCTTAGAAAGAAGGTTTTATACTTTTATGTGTTATGTTTTGTTTGTCTTTAAAAATCAATAAAACTTGTTCTTAAAAAAAAAACAATTTCCACCTGTAAGAGATCAAATGGCTATATATATTAAACATCACTATCTTCAAGTTTCTATAGCAGAATTTTATTTCCTCTTCTTCACTTTCTAATCCCTACTCTCCCCATATGGTGCACCCCCCTCAAGACTTCAGAGACAGCGAGATCTACTTCCAAATGAAGATCTTTAATTGCCTGACTGAACCACTAATGAATGTAACCATTTTTTTTCTTACCTATATCCACATACACTTCTATGCTAATTAATATATGTTTACTAACAGTTTTTAAAAGTCATTTTTCAACATTACCTGGAATGTGATTGATCCCACAGTCGATCACTACTGAACCTGGTTTGATCCATTCACCTTTTACCATCTCAGCTTTTCCAGCTGCAACCACCAGGATATCTGCTTTACTGACCTGCAAGCACAATTTGTATTAACCCAGTTCCATAAAGAAACTTTGGTCGTTAAATTGGTTCTTTTTCTTTCCTGCTGTGCCTCCCCCACTTTAAAGTGATTTATCTATTTAACAATGTCCTATAATATGAATATAAATCCATTTTGTTAATTAAAATAGGAATATACATGTATATGTGTGCGTGTGTGTGCTGTATATACACACACACACACATATATTTGTGTTGAGCAACATGTGGCTCCCTTCTTAGACATAAACATAAATACAAAAATAATTTCCCCAACATTTTGCAATTATCAGATATTTCATCTATCAGCAAGAGTTCATCTTTTTAGAACACACATGCAACTCAATAAAAGTGCATTCCCTCCCTGTCTAAAAAAATTATAGCATACCAAGGGAGAACCCTTGAATATTGTTTCTGACAGACTAATTTTCCATACGACTTTTTTTTGTTTGAAATGTCAGAAATGTTTATTTGTACATTTTGAGTTGTTTATTATTCTCACTTTTAACAGATACACATAATTAGATGGGCAAATTTTAGTTTTCCATTTAGTTGCATAATAATTCTGCACACTAATAGTTGCCCAATAATTGTGCACACATAGATATTCTAAGAAAGCCCAAACCTCACTTTTACTTTCTTAAATATTCAGGTTTGTGGTTTATTTATATTTTGGATCGACTGAGAGCGCTGTAGTTATTCAATAATAAAATTAATCCTCCAAAATACAACTTCCTTAATAATTGTGCATACCGTGTACATGTTTCCTCCCAAAATTCTATACTTCTTTGACAAGACAGCTTAATGCAAAATGCAGTTCATGCAAAACTGGCTTCTTGTGAATCTGCACAGACCAATGAACAGTGGCTCAACATGGTTGTATTTGTTTGTGCAGACTCTTCTTCCTGTATCCATGTTGAGTTGGAAAATCACTATCCAAATATAAAGTACTAGTTTGAACATGGACTTAAAGAAGGAATCCTATATTGCAAACAGAGGCCTGCTACTTCCCAGTATTCTTTCCAAGAAGAAATGACAGATTTTCCTGGGATTTTCCATATAGAGACATGTACTTTAGTATGGAATTACATTTACTTCCCATGATCAGCTATCCTATTAAGAAATCCTGTGCAACTGGGAAAAGGAACCTGTTGGGGAGAGAATATTGATGCATTCCCTGGCAGAAGACCCACTTTGCATAGGCTAAACCTAGAATCATTATAGCTGCAGTTTCCCTTACTTCGTCAGCCAGCGATGCAGTCTTGGAATGGCAAGTGGTCACAGTTGCATGGTTCCAAAGCAGCAGATCATGCATAGGAGCTCCGACGATCTTACTGCGCCCAATCACTACTGCTTTTTTGCCTGCTACTTGAACACCTGAAATGCAGAACCCAGAATTTGCATTCACATCATAAAAGCTATGCTCTATTCAGTCTATGATTCATCTCTGGCTTACAAAAAGCAACTGCAAAGCCCCCAAATCATGCTTTTATTAAGGTTTGTATCTGTTAAGCTCCATGCAGTTGGGCAAGATCAAAGAAACAAGAACTACAGAGATTTCACTAAGGCAGGGGTCCCCAAACTTGGCAACTTTAAGACTTGTGGACTTCAACTCCCAGAATTATCCAGCCAGCTGTTGCCAAGTTTGGAGACCTCTGCACTAATGTCTCTTTGATGCTAGTCTGGGGTAAATTCAGAATCTTGAAAAGAGTAATAGAGTTTTTCCAGTTGTATTTATATGAAATAAAGCAGAGTATCTTTGAATGCTTTGACATATTTCTTCCAACATTTTATTTAATTTTCACATTTCTGAACTGCCTATCCTCCTCACAGAGGGAATATTTCTCTTCGCTTGAGCTAAGTTGCCAATTATGATAAAACATCAACATCCACTCAAGTGTTTCTTACCATGTTTTCTTTCATTCCTTTTCTAGCTTCCCCATAATCACTCATGGTACCTAAAGTGTATCCCTGGATCTTGTGAATCAAGACCTCTCCTTTCCCTGCTCACCTGTTTGCCTGATAAGTTCCATGCATCCTTTGGGTGTGCAAGGAATGAAACAGTTGCTGAGGTCCCCACGTGACAGCTTCCCTGCATTTACACTGCTCAGGCTAAAAAGTAAACAAGCAAAACAGCTGAATTAGTCCTTGAAATTTTATCTCCCCGTCTAAACTTTTGCAAGGGAGGAACTACAAGAAACCTTGTGGAATACTAAACACTCATATCACTGAATCAGATAGACTGATAGTTCAACTTACTTTGATGCAACTTTTTTTGCTCCATGTTCATAACAAAATAAGCTGTTCTTTTTTTAAAACTACCTCCCTTTGCAATAACAGCCAGTTTGCTGTAGTGGTTAAGGTATCAGGCTAGAAACTAGGAGACAGATTTCTAAGTTCCACCTTAGGCACAAAGTCAGCTATGTAATATTGGGCCAATCATTCTCAGCCCAAAGAAGAAAGCAATGACAAACAAAAGTTATTAAAGCTTAACTTTTGGTGATCTTCTGCCTGAATATTTACTTATACTAGTGAATTTTTCTTCCCGTGAGAATAAAGGCAAAGTGGAAATCTAACATATATGGACACTTTTAAAAGCAGCCATTTCCAAAGAAAATTATTTTGCTTTTCTTTAGTATAATGTTTTCCAGACATCTTAACTTTAAGATGTGCAGACTTCAACTCCCAGAATTTCCCAGCTTTTGATGTTGAAGTCTACATATCTTGAAGTTGCCAAGTTTGAAAAAACACTGCTTTAATGTATTCATTCCCCAATTGGCCCTCCAGATGTTTTGGGACTATAACCAACAAGACAGTTTTATTCTCAAATAAATTAACATGCATATTTTATAACAATCATACCCATCGACGTCTTTCTCAGGTGCCACAGCATTAGTTATTTTTTCTGTGTTGATGGGCTTGTTCGAATCCAGAGGCAATTGCACTATAAACCCATGGATGGCAGGATCTTCATTCAAATTGTTAATGCATTTGAGCACCTGCATGTTAATAAGAATGGTGAAAAAAAGGGAAACAAGCCAGTTCAGAGGCAATGCTGACAAACCACAGAATACGCTTCCTAATTTCTTCAGTTACTCCTGCTGCCGGGAGGCATCAAGCATGAGGAATGTAGGGGGCACAGAAATACTTACCAGTTCTAACAAACTGGAATTATTCTCAATATTACCTCATAATTATGAATGTATCCAAATGCAGTGTTAGGGCTAATCACACAACCTGCTAAACCATGGGTGTCCAAACTTTTGGCTTGCCTGGGCTGCATTAGATGAAGAGGAATTATCTTGGGTCTCTCATAAAATAGATAATATACCATAGTTAATGTATATAAATCACATAATGTTAAACATTTATGATTTGTAGGGCTGGACTACTAGCTGTTCAGGGTCGCAGGCAGCCTGTGGACCAAGGCTTGGATGTACCTGCACTAAACCAAAGTCAAACAAAAGTAGGTTATGTCAACCCAGCTATGGTTTGTAAACATTTCAGCTTATGGTAGTAATCCCAACCTTCCCAGCTGACATTTGGAATCTCTTGAAATATGGTTTTTATGGAGATCAGGATTCATTAATGAGATTATAAATGAATTATTCCTTGCCACTAGCTCTTGCCTATTAAGTACTCTGTCATTTTAGCTTATCTTTCCTTTTTTTTTCTTTCCCTAAAAAAGTGGAGTATACTTCTGAACAATAACCAGACTTGTAGCCATCAACCTAATGATAATTCTGGAATCTATTAGAGATTCTTTAGGTTGGTATTATATGCTTTTCATTTATTATTTTTAATTAACTGAATCATTTAAAAATGAAGCAGCATACATAAGGTTTATGACTGAGTTCAATGTGCCCACCATGGTTTATTGAAGAGTACATAAGTAGAAAATCATGATTTGACATAACATGCTATTTTTAGCCATTGTTTCTGCCTGGTAATTTTTTAAAGAAGATCCCAAATTAAAAATGTTAAATTATAGACAACGTAGCTAATATTAGAAAGAAAAAATCATTTCAATAGAGGTTCAGGATACAGATTTCCAAGGGGCAACAGAAGACATACTATCAGGTGAGACTGATCTGATCATATGCAGCTGATGCATAAATGTCTTAAAGTGAACTGGATTTACCTCAGCTTCTGTAGCAGTGCCTGGCAGCTTGATGTGATTGGCATTGATCCCGATCTGAGAAAGCAAAATGCCAAATAAATAACAGAGTTTATGAACAGATCAGATGAAGGTTAGTCTCATTTTGCAAGCTTTATAACGTTTCTCATATAGAGTTCAAAAGAGGAATATAGCAAGACGTGAAAATGTTCATTGGAGAAAAGGATACCATCAGAGGGCATGGTTATAAAGAAAATAATAGATTATATAGAGATGGACAGGCTAACATTGAAATTAAAAGAGAAAGAAGATTCAATATATTATAGAGCCTGGGATGCCCGGTATGAGTGGTTTAGAAATAAAAAGAAAATAAAATGGCAATTAGGAAAAGAATGAGGAAGTATGTAAATATATATATATATATGTTATAGAAAAGATCGAAGTATAAGATGAAATATATTGATTTGTAACAAGAGTAAGATGCAATGGTAATGGAATAAGTAATCATATATTGAAAAATGTAAGGAAATGTAAAAGATGTCTTGATGTTGATAACAATTAATATACTGTAATTTTATTTTATGTTTTTAAACTTTGGAACATCAATAAAATACGTAAAAGAAAAGGAAATGTTCATTGGGCAAAGGCAGGAAAATGTATTCCTAGGTTGTCTAGGCAACCAGGCAACTTTCTTGTCACACTGCAAAACAAGAGTTTCATCATCTGTCATTACAGTACAATGTGGGAAAATAAGAACTAATCATGTGTTCAATTCTGGTCTTGAAACAGAAATAAAAACAAGTTTTTATATTTATAGGTATGTACATATCTATCTGTATATGTATGTGTATTTCTTTACTATAGCTTTCCTTAAGCATTTGTTTAGCAATTGCCCTTGTGCAAATTGGCAAATTAATCTTGGTTACCACAACAGTCCTCCATAACATACTACTTATCCTAACTTTGTACAGCTGAAGAGGACAATTGTCACAAAGTCTTCCCACCAGAAGGGAAGAACCTGCAGAGTTACTACTACTACAGAAACAGTTTCCAATCTCCTTGATAGTGGTTACATTTTACCATGTATCTAAATTTACATCACATTTTTCTTCTTTCCATCTTTTTAATCTTCAAAACCCATATTTTTTCTCCTATTTTTAGTCAAAAAGGTTTCCAGACACTAATAAATATAGTTGTTTATCTTTCTCTAATCAAACAATGTTGCCATCTTCTTGTCATCTTCGCCAAGCATTCCTATATTGTAGGTAGCAGCAATCATATATAAAACTAATCTTCCACTGCTCTTTTGTAATTGACTATATCCATTGATCCTAACAAGAAAAGTTATGGTTACAATTACACTTTACAATTGGAAACTATGTATCTCAATTTCTCTACTTGAAGCTAAATTCACAAATAGGAACAAAATGTTTCATTGAATGTAATGCTATGAAAAGCAGAATTACCTCAGCGGCAGCCTTTAGCTTCATGCTAATGTAGAGATTTGAATCATCCCGGTCACCAACCTTTGGGGGAAATAAATCAGATTATTTTAAGAGCTGTGGTAGTGCAGTGGTTAGAGTGCCAAACTGCAGGCTACTTCTGCTGACTGCCGGCTGCCTGCAATTTGACAGTTCGAATCTCACCAGGCTCAAGGTTGATTCATCCTTCCATTCCTTCCGAGGTGGGTAAAATGAGGACCCAGATTGCTGGGGACAATAGACTGACTCTGTAAACCACTTAGAGAGGGCTTGTAAAAGCACCGTGAAGTGGTATATAAGTCTATGTGATATAGGTCAGTGTTCCCCAACCCCTGGGTCATGGCCGCATGACTGACTGGCCAGTACACATGTGCAGCTCAATTTGTGCAAGTCAGTTCGCCTTTCTTCCCCTACCCTCCTCTGGGCTGCCAAGCCTCAAAGGTTGGGGACCACTGTTATAGGCCTTTCAACTTTTTATCCATGCTATTGAAGTTTTAAAGTTGAAGGGTTCTGATCATGACTTCAAAACCTTTTGCATAATTCTAAGATGTATTTCTTTATCCTAGATAATTGTTTATTCTTCCAAGAAGCTGGATATTTCCAAAACAGAACAAAATGATACTAATAATATGTTGTATTGCTCCGAAATACCTTTTCATCTTAATCTGTTACTTTAGTGGTGGCTGGAAAACAATTTTGCATACAGTACAATGTAACAACTAACATGTGCAATTAATCTAATAAAAATGGTAATGTTTTCACGTAAGCAAAATTCTTATCTATTTATTAAATTTTTATTCAACCTTTAATCTTTTTTAAGTAACGAGGTGGTGAGCCTAGCTAATACTCCTTCTTCTTCCTATTTTTCCCACAACTACTGTGAGGTGGTTGGGTTGAGAGAGTGAGAGAAATAGCGGCCCAAAGTCACCCAGTGGTCTTCATGCCTAAGGTGGGACTAGAACTCAGTCTCCTGGTTTCTAGGCCAGCACCTCAACCACTATACCTATTGCCCAAAGTTTTCTCCCAGTCAGATTTAATATTTAAGGATCTTTTTGAGCAAAGCCAAATTATATTTTCACTGCTGCACTAGCTCAACTGGGATCTTGTATCTGCCTCCAAAGATACAGGCTTCATTCTTTCTTACATAATTTATACCAGTCAACAGGGGAGAACTTTAGTGTGCTTAGCTGGAATCTGGCAGACTTTAAAACTTTTACTTCAGTATGAATATATTCATATTTAATCTGCCTTTTAAGCTAATATGCAATTTTACAAGTGTGCTAGTAATGTATAACACAATGTCTTCCTTAAATGGAGCACTCTGACTTTACAGACACATCCAAGTAGCATAAATACAAGATAAACCAAACAGAAATAAAATGTTTGACATCATGAAAGGCTTTTGGGATTCTTTCTCTTGTTTTAAACTGCATCTAAAATTCAACAGGTGGCACAACATTGAATTCAAAGGGGGGAAAAAGCACTTTGGAGCATTCACGTAGAATCTCTTGGCAACTTTTAAAATAGATACAGATTTTTCTGGAATCATGTAGCTGCTTTTGTGGCTGCAGTGTAATCCTATCAGTTCAAGGACTTTCTGACAGATCCTACATGAGAATCCCTGCATGCTCTGAAGTTCCTTTTTCTCCTTTGAACCCAGAGTTCGCATATTTCCAGAAAAATTCTCTCTCTGGATGCAGCTGCTATTCCCTATAAAGTTTCCATAGTTCACTGACATATTAAATTATGTTGTCAACAATTTGCTGTTATGTAGATCCTTCACAGTACAAAAAAAGAGAGAGATCCATTTCAGTTGTTATTGACTGTAAGGGCTATGGATATGAATGGGACAGCTCTAACTAAGATGCTATAAAAACAACAATATACCAAAACTATTACAGATAATCCTTTGACTTACAATTATTCATTTAGTGTCCAAGTTACAATGCAGAAAAGTGACTTATACCTGGTCCTCCCAGTTATGACTGTTGCACCATCACAGGATCAAAATTCAGGTGCTTGGCATGTATTTACGATGGGTGCAGTGTCTCAGGTTCACTTGATTGCCAGGTGTGACTTTCCTACCAGGTTTTGGCAATTGTTGAGCAGATAAACAAAGTCAAGGGGTGGGGGAAACCAGACTCACATAACAACCATGGGCTTTGCTTAACAGCCCTGGTGATCTGCTTAACAATTCCAACATAAAGATTGCAATATTGGGTGTGACTCACTTAACCACTTCACTTAGGGGCAGAAGTTCCACTCCCAATTGTGGTCATAAGTCAAAGACTACCTGTATATGCTTGGCTTAACTCTACAGTTTGACAATATATGTAGCCCTTACCTGCAGAATAGCAAGGCCTGGCCTGAAACCAGGAACTTTTACTTTCATTTCTGCAACTTGGTTCTTCAGTCGCTCCCTTACTTGGCTAGAAAGAACAGGTAGGAAAGAGAAAGTAAACATTAACAATTAATGATTAGATTAAAAAATTGGAAGTGGGATCTAGTTCCAAAGACAAACCTAAGATTTAAATTTGCACCATTTAGTTTTCCCATTTTTAGTGCCCAGTTCATGTAATGTAAAACTGTGCTGCTGACCAGAATGAGGAAAGGGGAAGAAATCCATCAACTGCCAAGTAAAAATGATTGTACCACTTTCTTTTCTTTGCTCATAAAATGTCATGAAGTGTCACTCATCAATGGTGTGTGAGTCAACAGCGCAGTTGTGAAGGTATGCAGTTGCCTAAAATGAGGTGAAGTCCAACAAGGAACAATTATTAAAGGCAGTTTTAAAAACTGATATGCTTACTGGCCAGCTGACAAATGTATCGATAAAGGAGAATATTTGTAGCTCAGGGTTGAAATGAGGGGTCCTTGGTGCTCTCTGAGCTTGGTTATTTTCTTGCAGGTGTTTCATTACCCAAAGTAGGTAGCACCAACAGTGCTAGTAAGGAGTGGGGTTTGCTGTACGTGGTTAACTATGCAAAAGAGACAATTAACAAGCCAAAAAGGGAACACAACCTCCCCACCAGCAATCGGCACTCAGATGAGCATAGATTAACTCCAAAATTAACATCAGACCAACAATCAAGTAAACAATACCTCAATCAAGGAACTTCCAAACAAGCCAACAGTAAACAGCCCAAAGCATCTCTAAGGCCACGCCCACTAACACTGACAGAGTAAACCATTAGAACAGAGGTCTTCAAACTTGGCAACTTTCAAGACTTGTGGACTTTAACTTCCAGAATTCTTCAGCCAGCTATGCTGGCTGGGGAATTCTGGGAGTTGAAGTCCACAAGTCTTAAAGGTGTCAAATTTGAGGACCCCTGTATTAGACTATAAACCCCATTCCTTACCGCTGTGTTTACCTTAGAAATGATGATGTTACTTAGAAATATTTGCAAGAAAAAAACCAAGCTCAGAGAGCACTAATGACCAGTAATGAACAATGTATGAACTGGATCTGTGATAGTTTCACAAGAAATATCAACAAAATATTACTGTCACTATTTATTATTTATCATATATGTCTGTTGATTTTACAAAGTTACATAATATCCTATGAGGTAAGTGCCAGACCCAAATGAGTTTTAACAATAACTGGGATTTGAGTTTATGCCTCATAGGCCTGGTTTCACATTCCAACCATCAATATTTTTCTTGTAAAAAATATTGTGCAACAGGTTTAATTATTAGGTGGAAATATTTCATTTAGAGCAGGGATGGTCAATTGATTTTTCCAAGAGGTCACATGAGAAACAGGTATTGTTGTGGAAGGCCAAACATATAGGCTGAACTTAATTCTGCTCAACATTAATTTTATTGCTTTATAAAAAGTAGTAAACTATATGGTTTTGATTAGCTGCTACTGGTAAGAATAAGTGTTATATCTTATTTACATTTGATTAATAATTTCTGATTCCTCTCCAACAGTCCGGACATGGATAGCCAAAGGACTGGATGTATACAAGGGGCTGTAAAATGCCCAGGTTTGTTTTAAAGTAAAGTCAAACTGAAGAAGAAAATCAAACTGACAAACCAGCTGCTACTATATATCATTTATTACCATGTACTGTACTCTAGTAAAATTAACAATCACACCTTTCAGTGCCACCTGGTGAACCCAGAGTGAAACTGCAAATAACATTTTTTTTCTTAACATTATTTCAAAGATCAGCAAAACTTAATAATTACCTGCTACAGACATTGCATTAAGCCAGGTTCTGTTTAACCATTATTTTTTTCCTGAGGTAGAATTCGCTGAGTTTATTTGTGATGCAAAACCATAAACGATGCTTTGCAAAATACAAGGGCTACATCATATGTAATATCATCGCCCCCGCCAAAAAAAACACTTTGTATTAATACAACACACGAAACAAGTTACTATTTGATTAAATACATTAGTTGTCAAGATGTGAGAAAGCAGCTTTCCAAATATCATAAAATGTTACTAGCAAGGATTCGAGAAAGAGGTCTGAAATGGTTGATGCTGCTTAAACAGAGCCTATGTCAGACTTCATACCAGTACAATGATAAGTCAACTCCGCATTCATAAAATTGCATCCTGCACCCAAAAGCAGAAACTTCAGAGACTTGACATAATAAAGGAAGCTGCATAGTTAGTCACAAAAGAAATCCTGCTTATACATAGATTTGCCTGTTTAAGAACACAAAAATTAAACCCAATATGCATGATAGCCTGGGCTTGAACTCCTAATACTTTTCCTCTGACCCTTTGGAGTCAATGGACTTTTGGTCATTCTTTCCTCAGTTTTGAGAGTGAGAAGCAGCAGTTCAGAGCTCACACAGTTGATCTCCTTGAGTCATAATCTTTCCACATGATACTCCTTTGGTGATTTTTTTTTCAAAGCTAAATTTACCTAATTTCCTCAACTTTTTCCTGGTAGGACTTGATTTCTAGTTATCTTTGTCTTAATTTTCTTTTGAGGCTGGCATTTGAAATAATGCCAGTCATCCTTCTTATCTCCCATAATGTCTATAACAATGCTGTGGCATTTTCTCTTGCTTTTCACTGATGAAACTACAGATTAAGTCACAGGCTAATACGTACGTACGTACATACATACATACATACATACATACATACATACATACATACTGTCAACTCATAAAACATTTTGTATACACATTTTATAGTTGTCAACAAAAAGAAGGGGGGGGGGAGTTTCAAACAGCAGGCAGCGGTGTGGAATTGAAAGTACATTCCATTCATATTTTCTTCAGAGACTGATTAGATCAGTGGTCGCCAACCAGTGGGCCAGGGACCACTGGTGGTTCATGAGAAAATTTTGGTGGTCTGCAGAGAAATGTCACCCCCAAAGCAATTAATCCAGGCTGCATGGGAACACAAGGCGGCCCCACCCACATGGCCCACGGGAACACAAGGCTTGCGTTGCTTGCATTGTGAACAACATGAAGTAGTGAGAGGAGGGGGGAAAGGGCAGAGGGGGGAACTTGCCCCATGCGCCTCGTCTGGCCACTGGACTGCTTCTTTCTGCTTCTTTCTTCTGCTTTTGGCTGCACGCAAAGAAAGCAGCAAAAGTCTTTCTTTATCTCCTCCAAATGAAATGAGTCTTTGGGACCCTGCAAGGCATCCTGTTTCAAGAAAGCTGCGCCGGCACAAGTTTCACAAAGACTCATTTCTGGCAGAGTTTGGGGAAGAGAAAGAAAGACTTCTGCTGCTTTCCTTGCATGAAGCCAAAAGTCTCTCTCTCTCCCCCTGAGAATGAATCTGGAGATGGTATCCTATGATCTCAAATAAAGAATGATCGATTGGTAGGAAAACGGGGTGGGGAATTTTCCTGCAGACTTTTTGGGGGATTTTCCCAGGGAAAACGTCAGCAAGCCAACGTCAGTCAAAATTCATATTAGTGGTCCGAGGGATTTAAAATAATGAGTTTGGTGGTCCCTGAGGTCCAAAAGGTTGGCGACCCCTGAATTAGATGACTGAAGCTTCTGCCATGCAAAAATCTAATTGAAGAACATGATTGATGACTCTTGATTATGGATGTGTTTCATTGGATGATACAACCAGAGGGGTGGGAGGGAAAGCAGGATCAAGGGTGACAGTGAATTATGTATCTCAGAGTTGGCTACGCTCAGGCAAATGCTGACACATACATACATATGTACATGTGTGTATGTAAAATAAACTGGGAACAAAGGTTAGAAGTGGAAAATGCAGTATTAAGTGACAGAGGGGGTGATTTGGGGTGAACCAAAATAAGGTATTTTATCTATGATCTCCTTAAACTTTTCCTAATATTACAAATACTTGTTTTTCAAGGTAACCTTTGAGATAGTCCTGTAAGAAATTAACATCTCTTGTTAGCTTTAATTTCACAACATTTAGTTTATTGATTATGTGTTATCAAACCAGTGTTGACTCTTACTGACCAAACCGATTTAGTAATTTCCACTGGATAAAAGAGCTGAATGGCATGGACATCTCTTCTATCAGTTAATATTTCACCAAATCCCACTCCATGAATTCCATTACATCCATTTCAGCTTGCTAAGAGCGAATTCCCATCTACTTCTCATGTCGGTAGTCCATGACTCACAACCGTTCACTTCATGACTGTTGAAAATTACAACGGCACTGAGAAAAGTGACTTATGACCATTTTTCAGTTACCACCAGGATCCCCATGATCACATGATCAAAATTATGGATGCTTGGCAACTGGTTCACATTTGCGATGGTTGCAGTGTCCCTGAGTCACGTGATCACCTTTCGCGACCTTCTGACAAGCAAAGTCAACGGGGAAGCCAGATTCACTTAATAAACATGTTACTAACTTAACAACTGCAGTGATTCATTTAACAGCTGTGTTAAAGGTTGTAACGTGGGGCAAAACTCACTTAACTCACTATTTACAGACCCCTCATACCCCAGACATAAACTGTTTCAACTCCTACCCTCAAAACGATGCTATAGAGCATTGCACACCAGAACAACTAGACACAAGGACAGTTTTTTCCCAAAAGCCATCACTCTGCTAAACAAATAATTCCCTCAACACTGTCCAACTATTTACAAAGTCTGCACTACTATTACTATTAATCTTCTCATCACTCCTTATCACCCATCCCCTCCCACTTGTGACTCTATGACTGTAACTTTGTTGCTTGTATCCTTACCATTTATATTGACTGTTCCCTAGTATGATTTGATTGCTTATTGTACCCTATGACTATCATTAAGTGTTGTACCTTATGATTCTTGACTCTTGATGAATGTATCTTTTCTTTTATATATACTGAGAGTATTTGCACCAAGACAAATTCCTTGTGTGTCTGATCACACTTGGCCAATAAAAAATTCTATTCATTAACAAATGTCTTGCTTAACAGCAGAAATTTGGGGCTCCATTGTGGTCATTAGTTGACCTGTACTGCAG